ACCTAGCCCTTGCCAAGGTTGTTGACCCCCAACGCTTAGCTGGTGTGCAGAAAATCAGAGGCTTATGGCGGATCTACATAGATAGCAAAGAGGCAAGGATCGCTCTCATTAGCAGTGGGATTTTACTTAGAGGATCAATGGTGAGTGTTCACGACAGGAACCCATTCGTTTCATATGAATCTGAAAATTTTGTGCGGGTGACTATCAAAGATGTACCTTTATCTGTCTCTGATGAGCTAATTGTGGCTGAATTAGAAGGATGGAAATATGTAGTGAAGGGGAAAATAGTTAGGCAGCGTTTGAGGGTAGGCGGACAGCTTACTACCTGCCTTAACGGTGACAGGGTTGTTTTCATTGATACCCCACGGCAGCCGCTTGCCCGCCATGTCAGCATAGCTACTTTCAAGGCCCGCACATTTCATGACGGGCAATTGACCGAAGCGTCGATAGCAACGTGTTCACGTTGCTTAACAACAGGGCACCACGCCTCCACTTGCTCCAAGCCTTTTGTCTGCAGACAATGCAAGAATCCCGGGCATCGCGCGTTTGAGTGTGACGAGCAACAACTACAGAGTCAAGTTGCTGCCTCTGTGTCAATCGCTAGGGCAAGGCATGATGATTGCATCGTAGCAGAGAGTTCACACAAAAGTTCTACGGTAGAGCAAGCACAAGAGAGAGAAGTGCAGGTGGTGAGGCCGAAAGAAAAGAATGGAGTCGCAGCGAAGAAACAGCAAAGCATCCGAGATATGCTGTCGCGAGAAGTAAAGCCGTCAGATCAAGTAGATCATTCAACTGATAGCGACTCACATGAATCTCATGAATCAGAATCCGAACAGTCACGTGATTCAAGGGGGTCACATGATTCAAGGAGTGGACATAGGGAGAGGAGTAAAAGAAAAACCAGAAAAAGACGAAGGAAGGGATCGAACAAAAAATGAATGATGTAAAGGGTATCTCACTTTTGTCGCTCAATGTACGAGGGATAAGGAATAAAAGAAAGAGGGAATTGGTATTTAAATTTTTAGAGAAACAAGGTACAGATGTAATATTCTTACAGGAAACTTTTTTCACTAAAGATCTAGATGATACTGTAAAAAGGGAATGGAATGGTATTACTCTCCATTCATTTGGAAGTAATCACAGCAGAGGTGTTTCAATTCTCGTGAAAAAGAATGCTCAAATACCAGTTAATTTGATTTACTCATCGGATGATGGAAGGATATTGATGATAAATACTGAAATAGATAATAAAAAGGTAACTCTGATAAATATATACGCTCCTACAGAGAAGAAGAATAAAGAATCTTTTTTCTTAAAAATGGAAAAGATTTTAATTCAGTATGATGGTAGGCCTACTGGCTCACATGTTTTAATCGCAGGGGGTGATTTCAATTGTGTTAACAATCCACGTCTTGACGTGATGGGAAATAAGTCAGTTTATAAACAACCAACAAACTATAGGCAGTTTGTTAAAAAGTTTAAGATGATTGATGTATGGAGAAAGATAAACAAAACTAAGAAACAATATACATATAGAAGTAAGTATTTGAATATGTCATCGAGAATAGATTACTGGCTTGTGCAAGTTTACTATGTTGACTATATCAATAATGTGTCAATTAAACCAGTCTCCATGTGTCCAGACCACTGTGCTGTTACTATGACAATAACTTTATCATGTAATAATGTCCGTGGTTCCTCGTATTGGAAAATGAATAATTCGCTCCTGAAAAGTGATGTTTATAAAGATGGTATAAAAGACGTTATTCGTCGTACAAAAAATGAATTCAGATCAAAGCTTGATCTGCAGTATGCATGGGACCTATGTACATTAAGTTAAGGATTAAAAAATATACTATATCTTTTGCTAAGAAGCTCAGAAAAACTGAAAAAGAAGAGCTAAACTCCTTAGAAAAAAAACTGAATGAACTACATGAACGAATATGTGCAGGCGATGATGAGCTTGAAGAGCAAATGGCAAATGTTCAGAGAAGGATTAATAGGTACTACAAAAAGGAATGCGATGGTGCAAAGGTTAGGTCTAGAGTTATTCATTTTGAAAACAGTGAAAACAATTCTTCATATTTTTTAAATTTAGAACATAGAAATGGTGCGAGAAAGTATATATCAGGAATTAGAATAGGCAGAAAATTAGAAACTGATAACCGTAAAATTATAAAATTTGTAGAAAAGTTTTATTCTTGCTTATACACAACAAGAAGCCCAGATCAGACAGTAATCGAAACATATCTTAAGAAAATAAATAATCCCATTTTATCTGGTAGTGAAGCCGAAGAATGTGAGGGATTAATTTCAATTCAAGATGCAACAAATGCTCTAAAAGGGATGAATATTAATAAAGCTCCTGGTATAGATGGCCTAACGGTGGAGTTTTTTTAAGGAATTCTGGGTTGAAATACAAGATCTTGTTTTAGACAGCTTTAATGAAAGTTATAACAAGGGTAAGCTTAGTTATTTACAAAGGAAAGGAGTCATTACTCTGCTATTCAAAGGTGGTGATGCGCTGGAATTAGGAAATTGGCGACCCATTACATTACTTAATACCGATTATAAAATACTTGCAACTGTGTTGGCAAACAGGCTACAAAAAGTTTTAACACACTTAATTAGTGAAGACCAAGTAGGGTATCTTAAAGGCAGGAGTGGCATTAATAATGCCAGATTAATTCAAGATATGATAGATTATAGTGCATTTAATAAGATTGATGGTGCCATCATATTTGCCGATTTTAAAAAGGCCTTTGATACTATAGAATGGAAATTTGTTGATACATGTTTGAAGAGCTATGGTTTTAATGATAACTTCAGGAAATGGGTCTCGGTGATGTATTGTGATCCTCATCTTAATATCTTAATGAACGGTTGGTTGACAAAAGATATACAACCATCTAGAGGTATAAGACAGGGGTGTCCCCTATCTGCATTATTATTTATCCTTAGCATTGAAGCTCTTGCAAATGAGATTAGACAAAATAACAATGTCATAGGCTTGAGTGTTGGTTGTAATGAAAAAACATTTAAAATAGTACAATTAGCAGATGACATGACATTATTTGTTCGTACAGTTATGTCAGGTAATACAGCTATAAAGATTATTAAAAAATTTGAAAAGTATTCTGGAATTCAATTAAATGAAAACAAGACAAAAGCACTTTGGTTGGGAACTAACAATCCAACAAATACTATTGGAAATATGTTATGGGAAGATGTTTATGTTAAGTCACTTGGTATTTATTTTTGTAAAAATAAAGATATAGGCTTAGAAATGAACTGGTCTGGAGAGAGGATATTACAAATAAAACAGCTGTTAAATCTTTGGAAACAGAGAAATCTCACGCTTAAAGGAAAAATAATGATATTAAAATCATTGATAATGTCGAAAATCATTTATACTTCACAAGTTTTGTCTTGTCCTAAAGAGATAATTAAAGAGCTCGATAAGTTATTTTTTGATTTCCTTTGGAAAGGGAGACCTGCAAAGGTTAAAAGGTCAAATGTATTGAATAGTATTCAAGAAGGTGGTTTAGATATGTTAGATGTTCAAACAAAGGTGGCATCGTTAAATATAAATTGGTTTTGTAAATATCTAAGCGATGAATTAAATGCAGGTTGCAAATGTATGTTTGACTATTGGTTTGAGAAAATTGGTGGTATAAAGGTTATAATGAATTGTAAATATAGTATAAAAAGCGCAAATTTTCTGGAGAACAAGATGCCTCATTTCTACTATAATTTAATTATGACATTTTTCTTGTATCGATCATGTACCTTGGGCAGTTATCGTAGAGAAATGATTTGGCTGAATACAAATGTAACGTATAAAAGGAAAATGCTTTTTTATAGGAATTGGATAAATTCTGACATTTTGTTTGTTGGGGATTTAATGGATGGTAAAGGTTTTCTACCAGTTAATGAGTTAAGTGCGAAAATATTATTTAAGGATGGAAGGTGGTATAGTCAATATGCACGTATTAGAAGAGCGATTCAATCACTCGGGAATATGTTAATACTTGCAGATATGAATGTAGAACATAGAGAGTATATGAAATTTAGACCCAAAGCGTTTGTATATAATGATATAAAATTGATTGAGGATATGATTTCAGTTAGACAGTTGACAGTTAAAAGAATATATCAAGAGTTAATTAAATCAAAAATCGAAAAATCTAGAGCGGAGGAATTTTGGCGTAATACTTTGGAAGTTGAATATATACCTGTATGGTCGGATGTTTGGTTATTTAAGTTAAAAAATATAAAAGACAGCTTACTAATTAATTTCAATTTCAAATTCATGTATAATATTTAGCAATACCATATAACTTGTTTAAATGGAAAGTTAATGCCAATGATAAATGTTATTACTGTAATCAGACAGGTGATTGTATGCACATGTTCTTTTTTTGTAACGAAGTCAGTATGTTTTGGAATGAAGTTGAAAGGACTATAAAGAAATATTTCATGTGTAATTTTAATTTCAAACCAAGTCATCTATTGTTTGGTATTGATTTTAATTCAAAGAAGGAAAACGATGTTGATATTATTTTGAATTATGCACTTTTTACTGTTTACAAAAGTTTTGTTGGAAAAGAATTTAAAAAGAAAACAACTATAACGAGACTTCTTCATATTTTTGTTTACCTATTAAGTTATCGTTTACAAATAGAAGAAAATATTAGAAAACCATGTATATCCCTCCAGAAATGGAGGCGAATGCTAAAAATGTGAATATGCTTATATTATTATGAAGAAAAGAATAAAGAAGACCTGAAATGGTTATTTTACAAAAAACAAAAAAAATTATTATTATTATTATTTATTTGTTAATTATTTTTAAATTATTATTATTATTATTATTATTTTATTTTATTTTATTTTTTATTGATTCATTTATTATTGTTATTATTATTTTCATTTTTGGGGGGGAGGGTGAGGGGAGAGGGCATTCCCCTTATGCCCCCGCTTGAATAATCTGTGCTTATAGGTAAGAGAAGTTGGATCAGTGAAAACCATTACTCCTCACGGTCTAACTCGAGTTCAATAGATAGATGCACTTCTTCAGCTCAGATGCCTCTTAACTGCACATCTCGCCTTTATCGCATTGAGTTCTACCCCCATGGATGCATGTCATATCATACACCAACAAAAAGACAATCAAGGATTGGCTAACCTCTAATGCCAGAAATCTTGCTTGTTGTTGAGGTTTGTCTGGATTCACTTTTATCGTTTTTGCTTTCTGGAAGATCTCCATGCTTCCTAGTCTATTGCAGGCTTCAGCTGCCCCCTACAGGTACAAATAGAAAAGGTATCCGGGGGTGTTTCTCAAAGACTAAGATCGACTTTAAGCTGGACTTAACTATGGTAGGCTGTTCACGCCACTGGTTGCTCTCACCATTGGTCTCTCAATTACGATCTATAGATTATATTTTTTCCTTCAATAATGAGTTATTAAAAAATGTAAATTCTGTAGATTTGTGACCATGATTTGTAAGTCCCTTGAGAGAGCGATGTCAGTAAATTGTGAGAGCAAACAGTGGCATGAATGGCCTGCCAATCCTGCCATAGTTAAGTCCAACTTAAAATCGATCTTAAAATCGATCTTAAAATCGATCTTAGTCATCGATCTTAGTCATCCTAGCCATTGCTAGGTACTCATTTACACCTGGATGGAGAGTGGCAAATATGGATTGACATTCAATTCAATTCAATTCAAGTTTATTCAACACTCTTCATAAAAACATAAAAATACAGCATGGAATGATAAAAAAAAACAAGATAGTGATAACAAATAACAATGGCAATTTATTTGAGCATTTGGGATAGGCAGAAAGGAGGGATTCCTAATTATATGAAAGCCTACCCCTAAAACACACAGATACAGGAAAAAAGAAACATCTTGCCATGCAAAGGACAAAAGTGTGATCCAACCCCCCCCCCCCACCCCCACCCCCATCTCTTGAATTGAGAGTCAAGTGAATGGAGCACTTCCACATTACCTCAATCCTTACCTTGAAGTTTGGTATCCTGTGGTGAACCGGCCGTGGGAACTCAGCTAGGTCATGTTCCTCCAGATAATCCCAAACCATCTTCCGTATACTCTCCTTACTGCTGTATAAATCCATGACCCTTCACTGGCTTGACCTTGCATATCTGCAGTGTTTTAGTGGTTTACGGAAAGAGATGGTGATGATAATAATAATATTCCGCTTTTATATAGGGCTTAATACATCTACCATGTCTCTAAGCGCTTACCCCGGATGGATTCAATGCTTCAAAAACTGTTTAACCAACAATTATGACGGTCGCATCCTACCGGATCGCCCGTCACCCAGGTTCATGTTTAAGCAGAATATTTCACGACCTGATTTACCTATGGCGACGCAAAGTATGTTTGAAGACTTAGTTGTAGACATGGTAGAGGGCGCCATTCAACAGTATATATAGCTCATCAAATCAATCCTCACATATTCATTGTCAAAATATAGTTCAACTAACAACCAATTACTTAAATTAGGTTCAAAGTTTCAAACTTATTACATGTGAGGGAATGAGTAATAGCTCTTTCTTATAATGCAAATTAGTCAGGGGTAAAAGGAATGTACCTAACTAAAGAGGAGTGATATGCCCCAGTGGAAATACACTCACTGCATGCAGGTTAAAGCTCATACATGCAGTGAGCAGAGATGAGACTGGTTGTAGCTGTGCCTACATGAAGCTGTAATTGATGTCTCATCCTGATATTCTTGATGTCTAAAGTTGGTTTTGGACACGACCTTAATATGTGAGTACAGTATATAATTAACTCTCTGATGTTAAGATTTGCTGAGGAGCTTAATTGGATAGATTATGATTTGTGTGAAGAAGAGGGAGATTTAACTTTAATTTACATGAAGGATGCATGCTGGTAGTAATTGAGTCACGCCTATTAATGCTAGAAAGGCGTGTCAGTAAGACATTATTAGTATAACTGCTTTTTGGTAAGCCTTGTATTCATAAAGATAGGTTCTGTTGGTTTTCTTGTGGAATTCAGATTGGTATGCAAATGTGTTAATAACTAATTACAGATAGCAAATATTGCAATCTTCTCTAGAGATGAGGTGACTTAAATATTGGTAGATGCCATGTTCCACTGCATTTGTATCGTGATTAGTTGAGTATGTTTCTATATTGCGTAAGACTGATAGAATGATAAGGATAGCTCACTCATTTGCAGAACTGTATTATAAATATATGTATGTGAAAGTAATAAATAGGGAGTGGCCTTCATGGCAGATTTATTTACTACATGCATTTCATTGGCTGAGGTAAACTCAATATATACAATGTACATGTATGAACTAAATTGCATACACTGTATATGGAAGATGATATATTTGTAATTATGGATCTCTAGTTTTTCTGCTCCGGAAAACAGCCTTAGCAAGTAATTATTTGTGATCGTAATGATGCAATACTTACTGTATTTTTTGTGTCTTTTAATTTTCTACAGCAATTGAAGTGACTTTGTGCAGTCATGGGTCTTCTACCCTCTTTTGTTAGTTGAACAGCATGAAATAAAGATTGGCCTCATACCCAATAGAACCGCAACAACTGCTTCGTCTGATTTGACTTCGAGTTGATACCCTCACAACACTTTCGTAATTTCCAGTGGTCATTGGAGTTAATTAGACTTAAAAACATTGACTAATGATACAACACAATCTTCAAGGCCTTAAGCAACCAAAGACAAAAAGTACTATGTGTGGGTCTGCATGTTAAGACAATCCATGATCCATCAATTATGTAGTTACAAAACTTCACTAGAAAGGAATAAGTTAGTTAATCCAGGGAGGTGAGATCTCCATGGTTAAACATTGAGTTCCATTCGTACATGATCATGATCATTCCATCTCCAACTTACCGCCAATAACGCCTCCAACTCCAAGACTCCTCGGCAGCCACAACCCACTCCAGCAAAGCATAGAGAGGCAATGCTTATTGACCTCTAACACTGTACTAGGTGTTAATAGGCAGCATTTGAATACATGAATAGTCAACACACTCGTAACACAATAATACCGATGCGGTTGATCGACAAGTTTTACAGTGGACTCACAATTTGAATTTATAAATTATTCTTTCTAACATCGGAAAGTTGAATAAATTGTATTTTACTGCTATTTAGGTGTCATCAATTGTCACCAAAGTACCGATTTTGAGTAAAATCAGTTGAGTTTTGTACAGTGGTGTTTGAAATGTTGAGAATCAATAGCAGAGTATTTAATACACAGCCAGGATAGTAATGCAGCTATGTGGGATAACCCGCAGTTGTTGATAAAAAAGCACACCAACGTACGAACTCGCTATGATTGCGTAATCGTGAATCGTGCCTGTTGTTGTTGTTGATGCACGCGTACCAGTGGCGGATGCAGGATAGAGGGGGAGGTGGTGGTGGTGGTGGTGGTGGTGGTGGTGGAGGGGGAGGTGGATGGAGGATCGACGCCCGCGCGGGGGGGGGGGGGGTGAGGGCTAGGGGCTTGGGAGAGACTGGAAGGGGATAAGCGACGGCCAATGGGTTTAGGTACAAGTTATAGGAGTATGAAAATCTTGGCCTGAGGCTATATATATAGGGAGGGGGGAGGGGCTGATCAAGGCCGGGCTGAGGTTACCCCTTGTCGTCTTTTCATTTTCTCATTTTGCCAGAGAATGAAGCGAGAAAAAAGGGAAGTTTTTGTTGTGAAATATTATGCTATAGATCTATAGTTTTGACATAGTCTAAATGTACACGTGCATCGATATATATGGGCTCAAAAATAAAATGATCGAATAGATTGAAATTGACAAAAATCAAAATGTGTCTATTCTCATTTAACACAATTGGCCCAATTATATGCCTATTATAATTTCTGAATCATTACAAAGCATTATATTCACACTATTGACTTATATGTTTTCCTAATTTTTGGCGTGATGTCTTGAACTTAGTAAAATCCTGCATGCCTATCATATATATATAGAGAGAGAGAGCATATTTGGAAAAAAATTAATTGCGTTCAATATAGCTGACCCGATTGAGGGTAATCATGAATTAATTGCATTTCTGTATATTATGTCCTACATTCATCATAACCACGCAGACACGGCCTAGAAAAATCAAAGCTCAAAATATCTTTGTTTAATTAATCGTCCCCAAATTCTGTCATAAGCCAATAATGCCCCCAAACATCCCAGGGAGTCGCTCCCAACACCACATATTGGGCTTCGTGCATTAATACTGCGCCCTGTGATATAAGAGGCACCCATTTATTAGCATCCAGAAATCGCTCACCCAAAATAGCTTTTTAGCGTATATTCCATTATAATTGTGGGGGTAAAGTCTATATCGTAGGGTTACGTAGCAATATTTTTTGCCATATTGGTAAAGTAATGATATCTTGTAGTAAATAAAAAGAATAGAAAGAGTCTTTATAATATACTTTTTTTTACAAATATAACATTTTATTTGAAAATAATTGAATTTGATGCAGGAGCTTGGATCATTTACCTATTTTGTAATAATGAACCGCTCTCAAAATCGGGGAAATAATGTAAATAGATCTGAGCAATGGAGAATAGAGGGTAGATGTTGACAGCTGATTTGGACAAAAAAAATCATCGCAAAATGTCTGCCCGTAAGTCCAATAATCATAATTTAGCAAATTCTTTTCGAACCATGAATATTTTACATTACTCATGTATGAATTAGGTGTGTATTAGGTGAACATGGTTTAAAGATATGTCGATTTTGACTACGAACAGGACTGCATGTTTTGTGATGGAGAGTTTTAACTTGTATTCATTGCATTGACAATACAGCAAAATCAACCCGTGGGATTTTGTGTGCAGCTTGTGCAACTATTAGTACAGGGCAGTGTTGTTGAGTTGTGCATAGCCATTAGCCATAGATAGACCTACTCTTTGATTGAACAACTTAAATGAGCCCTGAAATGTTATGAGATGATGTTAAACAGCGCTCCTACTTTTACACAAAGCTTAGCAATATTGATTTTTGCGATTGATTGCACGTGTTAATTTAACTCCAGATCCAGGGAGTTCCGACGGATCCAGGGAGTTCCGACGGAGTTAGTGTTAATTATGATCAATTCATTTAAGGTAATCAATCGCAAAAACAATTTCACAATCAGTTTGTATTCATGACTATTAAGTATTTGATCCTACATATTAAAGTACTTTTGTGTAGATCTAGCCACTCTTTGGCAAAAACTGACCATTTCTATTGATTCCTGTCCAGATCAGGCGAAATTTTCAGTCAGACTCGATTAAACTTTGGTGGTTGGATTTGACATCAAAATTCAATAAATTTGCGCTATTACTACTACGTGTATACAGAACAGTCGTTCTCATTGCATGGATTTACACAGCTTGGACGTACCACTTTTGTCATTTCAATCGGCGGCTAGCATTTTGTTGTGCTGCACTGGTCGAAAGATGTCAACCCGCGAGCTGAAAAATAGGCTTATAATTGTGAATCAACCCTATTGGTTATGTTAACAAACATCATTTGATATTAGGCCCAAGGCCCAAAATACACGGGAACGAAGGGTGTGGAGAATTTTGGTCTGTTTCGCGAGCGCTAGCGTGCGCTGACTGTTAATCAAGTCCATTCGTTAACGTGCAGTTGTCCAAAAGAAGTTGTAGATGGCATTAACCAATATTTTCCATGTTACACCCCCTTTAAGGATAACTTGCAGTCAAATATGAGCAAACTGCTGTGACCTTACGACCTCGTGTGGCTGATGCTAGACTTTCGCACCAGGCGCACAAAACATAGCTCTATGGTCTTAGATAAAAGGAGAGCGGGGGCATTTCACAAAACCTGCATCCGTGACAAATGACAATTTGTGTTCTAAGCTACTGAAAAAGTCTGAAATCTTTGCTTCTGATTGGTTATCAGCAGATTTATCACTGATTTTTGTTATTTGTCATTGAAGAAAGGCTTTGTGAAACGCCCCCCTGGTCATTTAATATCTATGTATTTTTCATTACATTCCAGCATACACAAGACTCCAAGAGAACAACTTTCACCATGGGATGCGGTCACCGTATGCTTCCTACCCTGGAGTATATACCCAGGCGGTAAGTACTAAGTATATAGTTCTGTATCAGCCTCAAAAGCATTACAGTGGTGTTCCTCAAGGTTCCCTCCTTGGTCCCCTTCTTTTCCTTATACATAAATGATCTCAAAAATTCCTCTGATATCTTATCCTTTATCCTTTTTGTTGATGATTCTAACATTTTCTATTCACATCGTGACCCTCACACTCTCTTAGATACTATAAATAAAGAATATTTTTTGATTTTATAATTTTATTTACTTAACTTATTCAGGTTAGGATGCAAGGGCTAAAGTTATTTCAAATTGTCATTTTTCTTTCCGTCATTGCTACAAAAATGTATTTACAAAATCAAAGTTATGTATTTCTATATTACAAATCATGTTTCTATAAAATATTTGAATGAATCTGAAATAAATATCAATCGACAGAAAGGCTCCAAGTCCATGTACATGTACATGTTGTAAAATTACCAATTGTTTGTATATAGAGAACCATTGATGTTAAACTTTTCAACATGTTGCTGTTTTAATGTTTATTTGTTTTAAATTTGTGATTGTCAAGGCGCGATAGCTTAGTCGGTAGAGCAGTGATCTGGTGACCCAGGTTCGAAACCAAGGCGATGCGCTAGTGCCCTTTGGTAAAGCATTTATCCTCATTACCAGGTCCCTAGGAGAGGACCTAAAGCCGTTGGCCGTCTGGTTGCTTATTTACAAGCGTTTATGCTTTCTTAGCAGTCAGGTAAAATAACCACCACCACCACCACAAAATGCTATAGAAACTGGTAATATAAATCAGTGTTTACCTTTTTTTCTTCTGTAATAGCTTTAAGTTTGAAAGCACTCTGCATTGTTTGAATTGAAACTCTTGTTTTATTTTTCTGTTTTTCAGGTGCGTCCAGTGGTCTCAAACATCTCTGTGATAGGTGTCCAGTACAATGGTCCTCCGTGTAGAGACTATCTCGGTCTTGCTATCTTCGTCTTGGTCTTCTTTCCCCCCATTGGTCTCTTCGCTATCCTCAAATCTAGACAGGTAAAATTAAAAGCACCATGCCTGGAATTGTTATCCCTTTAATAAGGGAGTTTACAGATAGGACATGGTACAAATGACCCCAAATATCCACAGATCTTTTACACATGGAGAAGTTCCACTTTGAGCATCTTAGAATAATAACTGCCAAAGTCCTAGATGTGTTTCATGAATACCTTATGTTTGACCTCTTGAAAAGAATACTTCCACCTGCGTATCATAGAATGTACCGTTGGTGCATAAATGAATAATGTTACATAACTTTCATGAGCGCATATCCAGTATTCATCTCTGTGGGTTTTACCATTTTGGTACAAATAACCTTTATCTGCCCATGCACAGATTTTATCTTTAAACTCCCTTATTAAGCCCCACTGCATTTCTTATAGCTACTTGCGCCCTCTATATAGCAAACAATACCTAATCAGTGTCTGTGTGTCCCTAATGATCCCCTTTTTCTTATGTTAATTGAGAGCTGATTTGATGAGATAACCACCTGTCAGTGACTTTGCAGGGAGTTCTAGTCCCCCTGGCCAAACTAGTGCAGACAGGCTTTAAGTAAAATATGGCATTAGGAATTGATTTCCAATTTCAACCGTCACCCTTGTAGAGATTATCTTGGTCTTTTACCTCTCATTGGGCTCTTTGCTAGTCTCAGGTCTAAACAGGTAAGAACAATATATACCTCCGGTGTGTTAAGGCCTATACCTTATTTTATCTGTTTAGAGCAAGGCTCAGCAAGCAGAGGTAACACCTTTCTGGCTCTGAACAGATGATTAATCGTTTGTTTTAATTCTATATGTTTTGATTCCGCCTTTGGATGACTTTGATAGTTTACACGTCTCTTGTATCTGCTTACAGGTGCGTGATCGTGCGTTGGTAGGTGACATCATCGGGTCGCAGCGTGCCTCAGGTACGACACGACGCCTCTGCTACGTGGGTCTCGCTATCGGTTTCTTTCTCTGGATTGCGTTCCTGACCGCCGCCATGATCATCTTTTCGCAGACGGAGAAAATGGCTTTCGGCGAGACGTCGCATCCCATCCCCGAGACGCGGCACTTCAATTTCACCCTCATCACGGGCCCCCGATAGGCATTTTCCTTTCGGACTCCATCTTTTGGTGAAATTTAGTTGTTTTTAATTTTACATTTTCTTTTGTATTGAGACTTTCATTTTTGTTCCAATTATCCCATTATATTATATCATATTACGTTGCTCTCACTCTCTCTCTCTCTCTCTCTCAATTTCATCCTCATCATGGGCCCCCGAAAGGCAGTTTCCTTTTGGACTCCCATCTTTTGGTGAAATTTAGTTGTATTAAATTTAACTTTTTTTATTTGTCTTGAGACTTCCATTTCTGTTCTCATTTGTCCCATTTTAATACTTTATATTACGTTCCTCTCACTCTCTTTCTCTCCTTCTTTTTCTCCCCCTCCCTCCTGCCCTCTCATTTTGTCTCCCGCTTTCTCTCTCTCTCTATCCTTCACTTTCTCTCTCTATCCTCTCTCTCTCTCTATCCTCTCTCTCTCCTCTCTCTCTCTCCCTCTCTCTCTCTCTCTCACTCTCTATCTCTCTCTCCCTATCCTTCTCTCTCTCTCTCTCTCCCTCTCTCTCTCTCTCTCTCTCCCTCTCTCTCTCTATCCTTCTCTCTCTCTCTATCCTTCTCTCTCTATCCTTCTCTCTCTCTCCCTCTCTCTCCCCTCTCTCTCTATCCTTCTCTCTCTCTCTCTCTCCCTCTCTCTCCCTCTCTCTCTCTCTCTATCCTTCTCTCTCTCTCTCTCTCTCTCTCCCTCTCTCTCTCTCTCTCTCTCTCTCTCTCTATCTCTTCCAGCCAGGGTAAACTACCAGTACATATTTGGCCAGTCAATTTTTTACATTTTGTTCCATGATAGTATTTATATATTCTTCTGTTCTAAGGCTATAATTTTGAAACAGATAGGTGAGGTCCTGGGCCCCGTTGCACATAACTTACCATCGATGGTAACTTTGCCATCAATGGAAACCTTAATTTTAAGTGGCTGCTGAGCCTGTAACCATGGTAGTTGGAAGTTTTATGCACAGGGCCCAGGTTATCCTTCTCTTCTCTGTCAGCATCTTGCCCCCTCTCAAGTTTTGATTCATTTATGTAGCAGTTCTGTTCACCACTACTTCCATTTCTGCCCCTCAGAGTCCCACTCTAAAAATAATATGTTATACAAAAAGTCAAATCGCTTGCCTATGTTTGGTGCTACAAAGACTAGAAACTGAGGCAAATTTCATTCAATCATTTTGCTCACCCAACATTTCACTTTTTCTGTCCTGTCAGTCATTTATAAAACATTATATCAGGGCCAGTTTAATTTGTTTTCACATGATTTTCACGTATGTTTTCTTTTTCTTTTCACAGTATTTAAAAAAATGTGATTTCATTTTAAAGGTATTGAGTGAAAAAAAATTGTTGATGCTCTCACTTGACGAACCAGTGTAAAGTTGATTTGATGACAAACTTATTTTGCAAGATTTGTAAATTATTTTCACTGATAATTTCTCCATGGTTTGTTGTTGTTGATTGTCCCATACTGAAATATTGGCAAATTCTTGTTGATGAAAACAAAAATCATGTGAATATTGAACTTCTTGCTTTAAAATGTTTCCCTTTCTCGTAAAATCAAGGTAAACCAAAATATTGTTTTAATTAAGTGAGAACGGTTTCATCAATTTTAGAATATAAGGCCTTACCAAAGACTGAGATATTTATGTGAATGAATTAATGCTAAATATTTTCTTCAAAATTGTGTTGTGGTTTATGCCAAGACCTTGCTGTCATTAATTATTATGTATTTCAGTGTCCAGGACTGTGAGATTTGTAATTTCATTTCAAAATATACTTTTGGGCTTTTTGAAGCACCGATAAATTCTTTGATGAAAACCTAATGAGAAGGAGAATCAAATATCGACCTTTTCGAACACACCGAAATGACCTTGAATATGACTTTCATTGTGACCTTCAAGTTGTGTCCTTCTCATCTAATAACCTTCAAAGGCCATTCAACCTTCAAGGTTATTGATCCTACATTGGATATCACTCAGACAATTATGTATAGATTATGAAATTCACATTATTTTGTATTGATTAACATTCGTTTACATATACAAGTATTTACATTGTCAATGTATATGCTAGGTCAGTTGGCTGATGTAGTTTAGATGTGCAATTTGTATTGTTTTTATTTGTCACAAGTAATTTAAGATGTCTAGTCTAGTTTATTTCATTTTTGTTTGTGTTTTGTTTAGGATATGGTAGCCAGTATTGGTATACCTTGATTATACATTTGTATATTAGCATACATGTTTGTATATAGCTCATGTGTATAGATTTGTTAATTTAACTATACAATTCTCATTTACTCTTCATATCAACTCTTCAGAACAAGTTCATTATTGTGTATGAAATATGTAATTATTGTAAAAATTGTGTACCAGTACATGTATTTTGTAGAGTAAATGTTTCGTCAAACAGTTTGGCTAAACCTGAAATATGTAATCTGAAATAACAGCTGACTATAGGAAGTAATGTGCAAGGTCCCTCATACTGTTTAACTCCCTTAAACACTGCCTAACTCCTTAAAACACTTTCCTTTTTATTCGAAAATATAATTCAAATTCAAAGGGTAATTGCACATATTTGTTTATTTTCCAATGTTCTATTTCTTCCCGCTATTATAAAGCTATCTCCATCTGTAGACTCTGCACCTCAAGAAACACCTAAAGACCCATTTCAATGTATGAATTGCGCTAGAGAACGTGGCTCGTATTGACTCATCTCTTCACAAGGGGATTCAATAGTTTTGAGCAACAGGTTCTAACCTTGAAATAGCAGGTTTCAACCCACATTGTCCTACTTGTAGCTTCTTGCTCCCTCTATATAGAAATATTTAATGAGATAGCCACCTGTCAGTGACCTCGCTGTGTGGTCTAATCCCATCTGGCTGAACTAGTACAGCCGACCTTTAAAACTCACGTACAGGTTTAAATTCAATCTCAACCAAATTTATTTCTCATATTATTAGTCATAAAACAAAATTTGTTTGGAAATGCTCCAGACTGCACCAGAGAGAATCTAAGAATCCCAGAGCTTCGAGGGCTCTTCATCAGTGGGCCCAGGATCCCATCCGCAAGGAACTTGGCACTTTGTGTAAATCGGTCTACACCCTTTCAAAGTTTTACATGTTTGAATTTTTTTGTGTGAACCACCCAGCTGTTTGAACCCAGTGTTTGAACTTATGTATTATTATGTAAAAGCCGTCTGTACTAGTTTGGCCAGGAGGGATTAGACCACCCAGCGTGGTCACTGACGGGTGTTTATCTTATCAACTCAGCTCTCGATTAACATGAGAAAAAGAAGATCATGGGGACCAATGGTCACCGCTTAGGGATTGTTTTCTATATAGAGGGAGCAAGTAGCTACAAGTAGGACAGTGTGGCTTTAAACAAGGATTTGGGCTTGCTTTCCTCATAATTCCATATAAATATTATACACTGCCATAAACTCTTAAATAGAAACATCTCCATGAAATGTAATTGTGTCTGTATTGTATGGTCTGGTTATACATGTATTGTTGATATATCATAATCCTAATCAAATAGTATTCAATTTTTAACAGCATAGAGTATTCAATATTTTAAAAAGTCATAGTTTATGCTAAACATACTTTTACAAAAGATACAGGGTTGAATAGATAGAGTTAGTAGCTTTTCTTTGTCAAATTGCAAAGCTTGCCATTTAATGATCGAAAGTTTCTGTTTAAATTTGATGGAAATCTTTTTTTTCCAATGTTGCATTTGGTTGTACGTTGGATATCTACATGTACCAGGGTTAATATATTAATGAAATATCAGTAATATATATGCTGTACATATTTTGACCTTGTTTAATTTACTTACGAACATGGTAAATTACATTCCTTTTCTGGGTATTATTACTTTTAATTTAATTGCTTTTCATTACTTGGTGTTATACAAAGTTCAACATTCTTTCATTCTTTTTTTTCCCCTCATTTTAAAACACCAATCCTTATTGAACCTCCTCCTCTTTCTCTCTCTCTCTCTGTCTCTCTGTCTCTCTCTCTCTCCCTCCCTCTCTCTCTCTCTCATCGGTCCTCACTCACTCACTCTCTCCATCTCCCTCAGAGAGAGAGAGGGACTCCCTCTCTTGGTTTTCTGTTTCTCAGCATCTATATCTTACCTGCCTATCCTTCTCTCTTACTCACATCTTGGTCTTTTCAAAATAGCCCTATGTGTCAATTTTTCTTTTTATAAACGTTTCTTTGATCGACTCTTTTCACAATTCTAAATAACGAACTCAATATTTCCTGCCACCAACACATCTGTTTGAAAATTCAGCAAATATGTTTTCCTTCACAGAATTGTCCACTTTGTAAATGAATTGCCTGATTTAATTTAAATAATTACAGTTGGGCATTTAAATATATCAGAGTAATGATGTAATGCTGCCATATGTTGTATTTTGCTTGTCAAATAGCAGTACCATTCGCCATACTTATGACCGTGTATTTTGTTGTATTGGTGTTTATATTGTGTTTTTTTTATTATTACTGCAGCTCTGTAGGCTAGCTGTCATGTCATAATCTGTATTACAATTTCCTATGAAAACATACCTTGAGTCTATGTGTTGCCATAATGTTAATTGCCAGAATCGTCTGTGTATTTGTAGACAAACAGAAGTATTTTCATATTTATTGCAATAGGGAGCATATCAAAATAAATGTGTAGAACCATACAAGTCTGTTTTCTGTTCAATCTGTTGTGCATTTCTGAAATGTATATTTTCTTTTGATTTTCACGAGAGGTCTAGAGAACAAAATAACGAGGGGGGGGGGGGTAAAATCAGATGTGCAAAGGAGGAAAAACAGAAAGAAAATTTCAATTGAGGAATTAATCTAGGAGAGAGAGAGAGAGAGGGGTGTGTGGAAAGAGAGATCGAGAGAGATAGAGAGAGAGGAAGAGAGAGGAAAGGGCAGAGTAATATTTTAACAAAAGTTGCTTGTTGGTTAATTTGGTAGATAATATTCACCAGGTCTTTTTTTCTGATTCTACACCGTGATTCAAAAGATTCTGAAATATTTTTCGTGCCACAGCCCAGAAACTATTCAGTGCATTTGGCATGTAATTACGTTAACTTTAATTGCCATATATAGCATCAGAGATCGAGTTGCTAATTACTGTTTGCCTCCATGCAATTTTGACAAAAACTCAATATGATAACATAAAAATTCAAATCAGATTAATGTACTCTGCATAATGTTAACAGATTGCATGCAGCTAATGATTGGCCCCGTCCCTGCTGCCCCCCCCCCCCCCCCCCCAAACAAAAAGAAGAAGAGAAAAATTTAAAAATTTAAAAATTAAAGGACTCAAAGTATATTTGTATATATATTCAAACTTTAATAACCAATT